AAATGTTTTGTCCACCCCCAGTCTGTGGCTGTAAGATTCTCATAAGCCTAACCTAACCTCTGGGAACAAGATGTCATTTGCCGTGAGCAATAAAAGCCTTCACAAGTTAATATGCCATGCCAAACCCAAGAGCACAGCTGCAAGCGCAAATGCTTTGTATGGCCTCCAAAACGAAGGACTCAAAGTTGTGGTCTCTTCTCTATTTGAGGTATACGTAACGCTGCTTCGATGCTAAACGGCTAAACGTTGGTACCAGACATCAATGCGCAGCATTGCTTCAGTGCAAACACCACTGCGAGCCTTCTGGATAAAGCTGTTAGCAAAAGGAGCGTTTGACTTACCCACAAGAACGCCGGTTTGCTTCGCTTGCGTGTAATGATTGCATAGTATCCCTTTCGCTCCGCATTCCTTCCAACGCACTACGAACCCAGACACACATACATACATACCTGTGATTGGAAGTATGTATGTTTGTTTCCCATAGGAACATACATACCTCTAATTTTACCCTATGTATGTTTCCCAGGAAGCCAGATATACATACATATCTGTAAATTGGAGGTATGTATGTTTAGGAGGTATGTATGTTCCCCCCAAAAACCTACATACATCAAATTTTAACGTATGTATGTTTCCCAGGAACCCAGACATACGCACATACCAGTATTTTGGAGGTATGTATGTTTCCCAGGAATACATACATACATACATACATGCATACATACATACATACCTCTAGTATATTTATCAGGAATGAATATATATATATATATATGGCCCGAATTCAGTACGTATGTTTCCCAGGAACATACATACCCCGAATTGTTCAGTACGCGCATACCCCATCATTCCTCTATCATTTTGCATGCTTCTTAGGACATACATCCACACATACATACCTCACAAAGGGGGGTAGGCCATGGATAACTGCATTCATGCGTGCGTACGTCTATGGAATCAAGCGTTGGTCGTGTATGCAGTCTTCTATGTGACAAGGGCAGCGGCGGGGTGTGACATTAAAATCGCGGGAGGGGGCACATACTTACTTATTTACTTACTTACTTACATACATACATACCTCACACAGGGGGAGGCCATGGTCTGTATTCATGCACGCATATGTCTATGGAATCATGTGCTGGTGTGACATTAGAATCGCGCGGGGGGGTGCGGGGGAGGGCGCAGCGGGGCGAGCCAAGCGAGTGCGTTTGTTTGTGAAGCGAGCCCCCGGACGTGACGAAGAATGTATGTTGTGCAATCATGCGTTAATAATCGTGTGTTAATGATGTATCCGAAATTTTGAGGTATGCGTGCTTCCCAGGAATGTACATAGGTATGGATGCCTGTGTCTATGTAGGTATGTAACTCTGTCAGGAGGTTGGAGCCCTGTAGTGTGGAGGTCTGTATGTTTCCCAGACATCATACATACCTTTAATTTGGAGGCATGTATGTTTCCCAGGAAGGCATACATACCGGTCGAAGTATGTATTTTTCCCATTGGACACTACGAACCCAGACATACGTACACACCTGTGATTTGGAGGCGTGTACTGTATGTTTGTTACCCATATACATACCTCTAATTTTATCGTATGTATGTTCCCCAGGAAGCAAGATATACATATATCTCTGTAATTTGGAGGTACGTATGTTTAGGAGGTAAAAAACGACATACTGCTAATTTTGAACCCAGACATACATACATACCAGTATTTTGGAGGTATGTATGTTTCCCAGGAATACATACATACATACATACATACCTACCTACCTGTAATTTCGAGGCATGTATGTTTCCCATAGGAACATAAATAGCTCTAGTTTGTTTCCCAGGAACATACCTACCCCGAATTCAGTACGTATGTTTCCCAGGAACATATACATATCCCCGACTTGTTCAGCGCGTATGTTTCCCACAAACATACGTACCCCATCATTCCTCTATTTTTGAAGTATGCGCGTTTCTTCGGAACATACATACATAAATACATACCTCACAGAGGGGGGAGGCCAGCCATGGATAATTGCATTCATGCGTGCATATGTCTATGAAATCGTATGTTCTATGTGACAAGGGCAGCCGCGGAGGGGTGACATTTAAATTGCGGGAGGGGGTGCGGGGGAGGTCACACGAGTAAAAACCTCATGCTAAGCGCACGAGCTTCACCACTCACAGGCTCACAGATTTCAGTCTGGTACTGTAAAGTCTGCGTCTTTCTTGAAACTAGCCGGTTTTGCTTTTGGAAGCTGCTCGTGTGGCAAACTTGGAGCCTCCCCCTCGAGGCGAGTGAAGGTGACAATGAATGTATATGTTGTGCAATCATGTGTTGATGATTTACCCTAAAAATTGAGGTATGTATGCTTCCCAGGAACATACATGTGGATGTTTGTGTTTGTGTAGGTATGTAACTGTCGGTAGATTGGAATGTCACGTGACGATTAATGTATATGGTTATAAAATTCTTTCATATGGTAAGGCCAGACTCCTCGATTAAAAACAAGTCAAAAAAAGTCAAATGGAAAAGTCAAAGTAAAAATTATCCGGGCAAGAGACCCCAAACAGTGTGCGCGAGGTCTGTAAATATAGGCAGAAAGTGTAGAGATCTAGACGCACTGCGGCCCAGAGAGGTGATGGTGGTGATGAAGGTGGGGATCGTGGTGACGGTGGCGGTGGTGGTGAGTGAGTGTGAGTGTGAGTGAGAGTGAGGGTGAGAGGGAGAGTGAGAGTGAGAGTGAGTGAGTGAGAGTGAGTGTGAGTGTGAGTGAGAGTGAAGGTGGGTGTGAGTGAGTATGGGTGATAGTGAGTGTGAGTATGAGTGAGAGTGGGAGAGTGAGTGAGTGTGAGCGCGAGTGGAGAGTGAGAGTGTGAGGGAGTGTGAGTGTGAGTGAGAGTGTGTGAGAGTGTGAGGGAGTGTGAGTGTGAGTGAGTGGGAGAATGAGTGAGTGTGAGTGCGAGCGTGAGTGAGAGTCAGAGTGAGAGTGAGTGTGAGTGAGAGTGAAGGTGGGTGTGAGTGAGTGAGTGTGAGAGTGAGAGTGAGAGTGAGAGTGGGAGTGTGAGTGAGTGTGAGTGACAGCGAGAGCGAGAGAGAGAGAGAGAGTGAGTCAGTGGGTGAATGAGAGTGAGAGTGAGAGTGAGAGTGCAGTGTGAGTGTGAGAGTGAGAGTGAGAGTGGGAGTGGGAGTGTGAGTGGGAGTGTGAGTGGGAGTGTGAGTGAGTGTGAGTGAGTGAGTGAGTGAGTGTGAGTGTGAGTGAGAGTGCATGAGTGCATGAGTGCATGAGTGCATGAGTGTGAGTGTGAGTGAGAGTGAGTGAGAGTGAGACTGACTGAGAGTGAGTGAGTGAGTGAGTGACTCTGAAACGCCTGGCCCTGGCCCACTAAGGAAACTCATTGGTCTATCCTGAAAGCAGATGTTACCAAGGCCCATCTCAGGATCAAGATTGACCCAACGGACTGGCGCTACCAGATTGCGCAGGTTGACGGAGACTGGTGGGTCAACAAAGTCGGCGCCTATGGTATGGCCTCACCGCAACTTTACTGGGGCAGGATGGCCTCCACCTCCGCATAATGTACTACCTGTTTTGATGGTGGACTGGGCCTTTGTCTTCGTCGATGATTTCTATTGGCTCCTTCGCTCACAAGATGTCCAAAGTTCTGCACCTGCCACGAAAACTGCATTTCGAAGTAAAACAGCTCCGATCCCTTGCACCTGTCACGAAAAGTCGACTTTGAAGCGCCAAAGCACGAGGTTTCCCTTGCGCCTGCCACGAAAAGTGACCACCGTCAGAAGCGCCCGCCGCAGCAGGCAGATTTTGTGAGCCAGCGCAGTCGAAATGCACATGGAGGATCTCGAGAGGCCTGAATGTACTGCACCTAGCAGCGAATTAGCCGGACACGCCCGCGCGGCACACCTATCTAAGCACACCTGCTCTACACCTACGGTAAGAACCCCTAGTGTGTCCACACTGTTTGGTGAAAAAATCAAATTGAAAATTGAAAAGTCAAAAAATCACAAAAACATAAAAAAGAAACGTCGAAACGCATCAAAAAAGTCAACCATAGACCACAGCTCGAAAAAGTAAGAAATATATAAACAAAACAGAAAGGTCGACAAAAGGAAAAAACAAAAAAATCAAACAACTCGAAAAGGTCAAAAAAACGCAAAAAAGTCAACCGCTCGAAAAAGGCAAAAAGAAATCCCAAAAAACACAAACAACCGAAAACAGTAAAAACATCAAAAGTAGAAAAACGGAAAATCAAATAATCGAAAGTCGGATCTGTGCAAATTGTTTTTTGTTGACTTTCTGAAACTTTCTGGTTTGTTTTTTGACTTTGACTTTTGGGATTGATTTTTTTTGATTTTTTAACCTTTGAATTTTGAAAACAGGCTCTCTCCAATGAAAGATGTTTATATGTATATGGCTGTGCAAATCATGTGTGAATGATGCGGCCCCAATTTTAAGGTATGCGTACGCTTCACAAAAAAGTGTTTCTTTCAACGACAGGAATGTGCCCTTTTGGCTCTTGGTTTGAAACTGCCTGCAGGATTTGCACCAATGACAAGTGGAACAGCACCGCTGAAGCCTCGTTGTGTGAAAGTGATTCCAAGTTTCCCAGGCGCATACCCACCTGCAAGGACCAGGTACCAGTGCGTTGTGTTTGCGCCTGTTCCAGGTACATATGTGTCCCGATGCATGCGTACCCCTGTCCCGGTTATATCTGTAGTCTGTCTCCCAACTTTCGCGCAATATGTGCCTTTCGCTATACATACATACCTCTGTTTTCCAGGATAGACGTACACACATACCTCTCAATATCAGATATGCATGTTTCCCAAGGAACATACATGCCTCTAGTTTCCCAGGAACATACATATTTATCGTTTCGACGCATCTATGTTTCCCATGAAACATACATACCTGTGTTTTCCAAGCATGTACGTTTCCCGCGGAACGTGCGCGCCTCTCGTTTTCCAAAAACATATATACCTCTTCGTTCGAGGTATGTATGTGTCCTGAGGAACATACATACCTCCAGTTTCCAGGTATGTATGTTTGCCGAGGAACATACATACCTCCAGTTTCGAGGTATGGTTTCGCAACGAACATACATACCTCTATTCTTGCAGTATGTACGTCTCGTAGGAACATACATACATACATACATACACACACATTCATGCATACATACATACATACTTACATACTTACTCTTCCAACGAACAACCTACGTCGCAAAGCTTTTGAGCTGAGTGGCCTTATTCAAACAATCCTTTGTCCCACACGTGATCATATTCGTCATCTTCCAGGTTCCAGAGGTTTAGCGTATTTGGATTACATGTTGCGGATCCTCTGTGAAAGTATCCAACTTGACTGTGGTCTGGACATATGATGGTCTTGAAATAGGACTTAATGTCAGTACCCCCAATTTGCGCGATGGAAATTGCTCAAAAACGTTCGTGCGCGCGATGAAGCCGATGGTGTCCGGATAACTAAGCTCGACATGGCAACAAATTCAAAAAGAGTTTGAATCGGTGCACCAAATTCTACCAAACAGCTCGAAGGAATTTGATAGAAATCTGTGGTCGTAGTCCTTAAAAACTGTGAACACAGTCCGCCTGCCGGCGCTCCCTGTTTGTTGCGTCGCCTGTTGTTTGTGGATCTATGCTGGTCTCGCTGTGACACTGTGATGCCTGCGGATGAAGCAGAGCCAGTGGTCAAAGTGGTGCGTAGAGGATGCTGTTTTTTTTGTTTGCTTGCGTCGCCACTGGTTCAAACTGTTTGTGGATGTGCTCATCGCACCGACATGCCTGTGGATTCTGTTAATCAAGATGTTTGTAGTTTCGAACATGTTGAAACTACCCGGGCACTGCACCTGTTCGCCAAGGAACATATCCAATGAGACTGCGCCTTTTACCACACACTGAAAACTAACATAGACCCTTGTTTGTAGAGGAAAGCAGGCTTTGAGGGTGCCATTATCAGGGTCCATGTCCATTTTCGGGAGTGTGATTACACTGCTCACCGCTATGGGAAGATGCGAACACTGTTTGATACCATGGCAAAGTATCCATTATCACGACAAAACTGCAGCTGCTGATGGAAACCTCGTGCTGCATGCGTGTACAGAATGACCAGCAAGCTTCGAGAGCGAGACAACACACAGTTACTGAGACTCTCCCTCCAGCCCTCGCGACAGCCTGCCGTAGCTCTGCAGTAGCCCTGCGCAGGCCACTCTGCTGCCCGCCGGCCTCAGTGCTACTGCAATCGCAAGCTTCGTCAATTTCGCGCTGGCGCGTCAAGATTAATGTTCATCTGCTCGCCTGTATCACAAGCAGTACACCAGCTCCATAGCCAGCTGCCACCCTCGCAGTACCTAAAACAGCAAAGTTATGACGCGCGATTGTGTCTTTATCCTTGGGACTCAGATGCATTCTTTGCAACACCTTCTTTGACCAAGGCTTGGCCAGCTTTTCCCCTGAGGATTTTGCAATGATGTCTTCAGCTCTTGGCGCCGCGCTGAGCTTAGTATGAATCAAGATTGGTTAGTTTGATTATGCTGTACCGTATTGTCGCTTTGTTTTCTGTTGACCGGGGTTGCATGTTTCCGGCCAATCAGATATCGATGTCGTCAGAAAATTCCTACCCCACATTTGGGCAGGAGACGTCCCAAAATGTAACAATTTCCAGGTCAATAAATGCTGTCACGTCGGACCTCCCATGTTGTATACATGTTTGCGCCCCCTGAAGCTCAGGAGCATTTTTCCCGAGAGCGCCGGTTCTTCTTTAAAAAGGATGAGCAAAAACATGAGCATTACATATCATCGCAACTTACATCCGCACATATCCAGATACGCGTATCTTCACATCTGCGCATCTCCACACCTGCGCTATCAAAACCACCCTGGTTTTCGATACTGGCAACGGAAAACCGCCGATGATGGGCTCACTCGAATACAATACACAACAAAGGATTCAACAATGAAGCACCGCTTCCCGCCACATCCCTGTCCAGCTCCAAAGTCTCTTTTCTCACCAAGCGCCCTGTGCTCTGAGGCCTCGTTCACACTCAAGATCCGTCTCCTGAGAACACTGTGCCAGCCACAACGGAAGGATTCCCTGCTCCAATGGCTCAAGGATGAACCGCCCGCCCACCCACGTCTTGGACATCCAAGCTGCAGCGGAAAGGGAAACATGTGACAGCCACCCTCAAGTATGATCGACAAGTTTGACATACCCTCTACTGTCTTTTTGTCGAACATGTTCCACTGACGCGGGCTGGAAGGCATCAAAAACATGCATTTCTTGGCTGGTACTCTGTGATGAAAACCAATGGACTTACTATTTGAGAACCCTCATTTCTCAAAGCTTTCTATTCCGGCAGCGGTGTGCTCAGAAAGTCATGCACTCAGTCAGAACGTCTTGGCTTTTCCTTCACTGAACTGCAGACGGGGCTGTGACCTGGTGACTCTGGGTCCACTTGAGACGGGCTTTCTTGTCGGATCGATGGCGTAGGATTTCATCCTCATCTTGAAGCTGATACCCTCCTGCACTCATTACTTCTCTTAAATTAGAAGTATCCATGACCTTTGTGAGGCTGTCGGCTATTTGGGCTTTGGATGGAGCCCAGCGAATGGCAACTCCTGTCGTGAGGTGTTCTTTGATTAGCCTGGCCTGCGACAACGTTCGAAACTCTTGACAAGCAGGTGGAGCTGTTCTACTTATATACCGAGTCAAAAAGGCTTTTGCAATCAGTGGCCATGATGGAATCTTGCTTTCCAATTTCCTGCAGTTTATAATCACTTGGTGACTGGTTGGGATCTTCGAGAATATCTTCTTCTTTAAAGGCCGGAAATGCTGGAAGAAGCTTCGCAACGCCGCTGGCAGCTTTGATCTAGCAACCGTCCCCAGTACACTGCAGGGCGGGGCTTAAAGTCTTTTTTCCATCAACAAAATGGTCAGTTAAAAATGTAAGGCGTTGTGGCTCAGACCTTCAGGGCCACAGAGCCCACGGTACGCCCGACGGGCCGGTATCCCCGGGCCGCGAACTGAGCCATGGCAAAGCAGAGGGTCTTATCAAGATGATATAGTTCAAGCTGGCTAGTATCAAACCGGCATGCGACCTCTAAGATCATCAAACTGAGTGATCGTTGGATTCTGGCATTGCTTGCCAACATTGTCTTTACAAGAGGACTTGATGCAATATGGAGAAGCCAAATCCATGCTGTTGAGGACAGGCAACTTCTTCGACTTTGGTCATTGATGCGGAGTTCTAAGGCTTTGATCATGAGGATTGTTCTAGGGTACCTGAAGCAAACATTGTGTTTGCCCGTCCACAGGGAAGAGATGGAGGCATGGTCGCCACTACCATACCAAGCATTTCACTTGGATTGGACGCCGCAGACATGGGGGTTTCTTTTACAATCTTGGAAGCTTGCGGAATTCACTCTGAGTGAGGGTGAGGCTCGGATGGGTCAGTGCTACTTACGTTCCGGCTACTGTAGCGCGCGAGGTGTACAGCCTATGTGATTCCTGTTGAGATTTACCTCCTGGAATGATACTACTGTAAACTTCCCATACAGCAGGTGGTTGGCTGCCTTTGTTTCGGCACTTGAGCGCAGGCTTCTTTTTTATTTGAGATTCCAAAATGGGATCTTCAGTGTGACACGCTTGATTTTGCCAATTGAAAACCTCTTGGCAGCTATACAGATACATTTCGATCTCTTCTTACATACAAACCTAGCAAAAGGCCACAGGTCACACATTGAATTACGTCGCAAGTGAAGCAAGCCAAAGCTTGGGATTTAGCTCCGTTAGAGGGATTTGACCACTACAGCACTTTGCTATTTTTTACGCTTGAAACGCGTGTCCAGGTAAAGACGGCGCCAAGCTAGAATATCCATGGCTCCTGCGAGAGCCATTGCTTCTGCTGAGAGCGTGCTAACAGCTACCTTTTGAATTGTTTTGGAGGACCAGACAATGGGATTTATGATGCTTTTCTGATTGAGATTTATTTTCTGATGAGCGGTCATGATCATGAGACCCTGATGCGATGATTGCGTTTGCTCCCTGGCGGGATATCTTGGTATCGGCGCCTGACCTCAGAATGGACCTTGGCATCACGAAGAAGTCTGTTTCCCTCCACAAGATCTTGGATTTGACCGTTGTTTATTGTACTTTGGAGAAAACTCAGGCGACTTCCATCGTCCGGGCGGGTGTTCACTAAGGCATATTGGAGGCTTCCAATTAAGCGCCGGAAAGCCTCTCCTGGTCGTTAATTGGTTCTTCCAAGCGCTTACCTTTGTCAATGTTGATTGGATGAATGTCCTTCACATACTGAGACTGGTCCACAGTGATGGAATAGTCGTCTTGTTGGTTGATCTGTAGACTTGTAAAAAACTAAACTCTTTTGCTTTCGGCTTCCGAAAGGAAACTTTTGTTCGAGAAGGTTGATCTTGCGATGGAAGTCCGAATCACCAGCGACCCATCATCTACATGAACCCCAATGAGGTTTCCTGGTTGTGTTCATCAAATAAGAGAAAGCAGTATGGGTCGAACGGAGCTTGAACAAAACCAAATTCCAACACAGCTTTTGTGAGTTCTCTGAACCACACTAGTGGCGCATTGAAGCCCGTAGGCCCCTTCAAGAGACGGCGCACTTCGGATCTTCATGTTTTCTCGAAGCTCGGGCAGAGGCTCAAGACCTAAGACCCGGGCGCCAGCGCTGCCTCTCAAAAATGTTGTCTTCACATCAAAGCTGCCTATTGACCATTGATTGCTTGCAAAAGGAGGTTTCTCGACAGTTTCGAGAGCGTTGGGCTATCTCTCTCGAGTCGAGCTCACTCAGTTCTGGATCTTGGTATCTCAAAATTGCCAATAGCGCTTTTGCTTTTCGGTTGTGACTGGACTTGTCGTTGCGCAAGTGAGTGTTGTTGTCTGCGTCTTTCCACGTCAGGATCCATCTACATTTGAGAATGTTTTGATGGGAATCTGGTTTCTTAGGATTCGGCAAGCCGTCTTCGTATCAAGCCAGCTTTGAATGGCTTTGTTTTTGGCTTCGAGGAATTGCTGTTTCTCCTGTGGTGTCAAGGTAGCCAATTTGACCTCTGTCTTCTGTTTCTTTGCCGCTGAAACGAGAAATGCTAATTCTTCTGGGTGGGAATCATTCTTCTTCCACATGTCAATATCCGTGAGATCTATGTTGACACCAAACTTCCAAGCCTGATCATTCGAGAGAGCGTATGCTTCGCTGAAGAGATCATCATCGTCGTCGTCCGGGACTGGTGCATTTTCTAAAGCTCCCGGATTTGGTGGTTCCGGACTTGGTGTCTCAGGAAGCTGCTCTGGGTTCTCCGGGATGGAGGGTAAGTAGTCTACTTCGGATCGAGGCAAGGAAACATCTTTATCGGAAATTCCTGGTTCTCCATCAGGTTGATCATTACTTGATTCTTCACTCGTGTGCGGTGTTCTGTCACTAAGGAATTATCGTTGCAACCGGTGTCTCAAAAACATCCGGTGTTTTGCACCATGCTGTTTGGGAGCTCACATGGTCAGAAGTAACGAGTAGTGAGAAGCTTCTTGTGGCCCAAGAAATCGGCCACCCATCCTATCATGTGTGTCAAACTTTCGGGCCACCCATCATGTTATCAGCGTTGTTGTGTTGTTGTCGTCACCAGACATCGGGCCACCCGTCCTATTATTGTTGTGAGACATTTGGGCCAACTGCCGTTCTTTTTTTGCTGTTGGCTGGTTTGCAATGTACCGCAGAATCAGCCAAAACTGAGGTGCTATGTTATGTGTTAACTTGATTAACCATGTGGCAATCAAACCACACAGCAGTTGGTTAGAAGGTTTTTTTGGACCGCTGGCCTCACTGGGGCACTGCTGTTCGTGGCTCCAACAGAAGCAGCACAGCAAATAGGGTGGCTCAAGCATGCCTTTTGCAGCCGTGACCGAGCTGTGCAGGGCTGAGCTAAGCTACCAGTGTGGGAGGCTTGTGCCTACAGAATACGCCTCTTCCTTGAGGTCTGGGTCCGAAGAAGAAGAAGAAAAGCTTGGCGTGGTCACAATGAAGCAGGAATCTTTCAACTTTAAACACAGTTCATTTTCAACTTTATTTAATATACGCGTTTGTGGGTTGATGTGGTTTTGGGCGGTTTTGGAAGGCACCGAAGTACACAAATGCAGCCAGGAGCCCCGAAAGCCTGTGAAGAAGGTTGTAAAGGTTGTTGCGAAGATAAAGGTTCTGACCGGTTCTATGCTCCGCTTTTTGAAGAGGGTTCCATACCAACCCTTGAAGATCACAAAGGCCTGAGTGACAGCAGTGGTTTTACTTTCCACACGTTTCAAGTTTCTAGGTTTCGTGGCTGGCAGGTACCATTGCACGGCGTCATCGGGGCCAAACATATTTGCCCTGTGGGTGGCCTGCAGTTCAACAAAGCAAAGCCTCTGAATCTCAAGTGCGTGTTAAGCTTGGTCCACTGTTTTTGTTTTCTGGTGGTCTCGCTAAACGTTCA